CTCCACTGTGAGATTTCAATGTCATTTAAAATAAGGCTGCATGGCTTCAAGTGCAGCACTATTTGAATTGACCTGCTTAATTAAGCCTGCTAAGGTGCTTTTAATTTGGGGTGTCCTGTCTTACCTTGTCGTAGGAGACCTGCAGCAGGTCCAGCATCACTTTATGAGCACCCATGTTTTTTAGCAGCCTCTGCTGCTTCTTCCAAACTCCGCTGCTGCACATCTTATTCAACCTCTCCAGGATCTGCAGGGGGAGGAGCGAGATGGCAGACAGTGGAGTCATGCAGTTAGACAGATGATGGTCAGTTTAACTTTCATTGGTTGAAATACTTCATTTCAATTTAGTTTTCTAGTGTCAATGTTAGTTTGTTTTTATGAGCGTTATTTTCATGGGTAAAGCAGATATCAGAGTGCAAGGACACCCTTCATTTTTTATATTTTGTTGGTAAAAGGGGAAATAGGTACACTGTTTTATTGAAATATGTGCAAATATATGTGATACAGTATACAACAAGCTTGAAAGTCAGTATTTGGTATGACCACCTTCATTCTTCAACACAGCCTGAATATTTTTCTCAACATTTCAACAACAACAAAGTCTTCAGGAATACTTCTTAGGCTTGTTGGACATCTGAAGCTCTTCTTCGGATGTTGGCTGCTTTTTTTGTTCTGTTCTTGGTCCCACACGGCTTCAATAATGTTGAGGTCCAGGCTCCGGGGGGGGTGGGGGGGTCAATCCATGTCCGATTGTGTTTTTCTATCCAGGTATGCTTTTACTGCACTGCCACTGTGTTTATACTTTACAACTGATTCTTTGCTAAGCTGTCTGCTATGTGGAGACACAACACAGGTTTATCTCTTGAGTTATGTGTCTTTTTATCCTCGAATGATTCTTAGGTTCACATTGAGCTTAACAAACAATAAGCACTGGGTTTATATCTGGGACTCTCCACCATTTGACGCTAGAACTGAAGAAGCTTCTCGGATGAAGGTGAAACGTCTTCAAGCAACTTAAAGAAGTCCAGACGCTTTTCTTTGCAAGCTCCTTTGAAACAATAAGCACTGAAAAAATTCCAAGTCTGGCTCCATGAAAATAAAATATAATGAGGTTTGGCTGAAGACTGTTGCATGGTACTGTAGAGCCTGCAATTATATTTTTGTACATTTTTTCTAAGCTCTAAGTATCCCACTGTGTCTTTTAGCTTAGTTTTAATTAACGATAGTATCTCTGATGGGCTGTATATGCTAAGAAATGAGTTTAATTTGCATTTTTAGCAATTAAAGTTTTCCCCCAAAGAAAGGATGCACTGTGTAAAAAAGTCTTTCATAAAGCCATTCCACATTTAGGAAAAAAAGATTTCTTTACACACTAAAGATTTTAACATAAAATACATTACGTAACACACACAATGTAACACTTTCATTACTTTTAAACAATGTGTCTGTAGAATTATCTTTAGAACAACTAGAGTCGGTGCCGGGTTTGGTTTCAGGGCTTTTTCACACATATTCTAAGTGATAAGACATTTTTTCATTTCTGAAAATGCTCAAATGAATCTTATTTGTGAATAAAATGCATGTTTATTCATTCATTGTTTTCGTTTCATTTAAAGACATACTTAATACTGCCAGTTTTCCCCAAGACTCAATTATGGGCCCATTACTATTTCTTTAAATATACTGTGTTTTCAAAAATGAGTGTGTTTTATTTTCAGGTGGCGCAGGTGCATAGATCATGTTTAAGCTATATTAAAATCTATAACCTTGTGAAATTTTAAAAACTTTGCCAACATGAGAAATTATCAATCTGACATGTAGAAACTAAGCACATCTACAAATGAGTCTTACTCACAAAAAAGCCAACTGATGTTATTTCAGTTTACTTTAGTTAATAAAATATTAAGTGAATCGTCAGATTAGGATTTTGTGATTTTGTAGCGCATGACATAAAACAAATAATGAATCACATAAATATTGATTATTAATGACGTTCCAATGGTAAATGGTAAATGGACTGATTCTTATATAGCGCTTTTCTACTCTCTCGGAGCACTCAAAGC